AATGAATATAATGAATAATTACTCACATTGCATACTGATTCATTTTCAGTAATATTAAAGGTGAACTCATGTGGATGCTATTATATCCATTTAAATTGTTACCACTTTTGGCTACTGATGTCTTGCATGGTGCATTTCACCAAAGAAGCACTGCACAGTTTGCATATCAGACTTCTCTGTAGGTCAAGCAAACATAATTACAGTTTATTATTTCTTGCTAATGCAGATACCATATATTTTCCTTCAATAAAATAAATTTTATCTGTTTTTTACCAAGTAAAATTAGATGTAATCAAGTGTTTTGAGAGCTAGATGAAGTTAATTTCTTGCTGTAAACTTAAAATGTACTCCTAAATAGTGAGCATCATATGGCCAGTCATTTTTTGCACACACTTTGTGATAAATCATGAAGTATCTCAACAATTGTTCATGTGCATGCTACAAATACGTACTAACAAACTGGAAATAGTCCATCCTGTCTTAGAAAGGTAGCCTCAGTGCTTATAGATAAATGAAGTGCACTCTGTAAGAAATTAAAGGGTGCTAATTAATATAACGGTTATTGCATGAATGTTTTGTCATTCAGAGCTATATACACTTTTCATTTAGATTGTTTTATTTTTCTCATATAACTGAAGAGTGTAGGCCCAATCTTGTTTTTATTTTCTCTGAGTGGATAAATGTATTGCTTATAAAGCCTGACAAACTGAGATGGGAACAACTTACTCTCTCCTGAGCTCTATGAACATCATCATAAATGGCATCATATTTTTTCAGTATAGATATATATATATAACCTTTTTTGTATGCAGTACAACTTCTTCCACTTCAGGTAGTGCCACTGCAGTTTTATTGAAGCAGAACTCCTGGGGAATATTTGAAGAAGACAGAAATTTCATCTCAAGCAGGCATGCAGGATTCCATCCTTGTAAGAAATGAAAGTTCTTGAAAGGAACTTCCCAAAATCATGGGAATGAGAGCCCTGGGATCTCAACTCTGCTTCCAGTGTTAGCTGAGCAAAAGGAGGTATTTTTTGTTTATTTTCCAGTTGGCTCTGGGAATTTTTCCTGTCTCGCTACACAGTCACCAGGCTCCAGTGACTGAGAAGCAGGAGGTGAGGGTTTGAACCCAAACAGGCTGATGAAAGCAAACCCTGAGGGCACACTGTAAGCCTTTGCATGTAATTTGTAAAGCTAAGGAATCATTTTTCCCTCCTGATATGTTTTTAAGGAAGATTGCAACTGAATTCCCTAGAGTCTGAAAGTGTGTGAGATGGTGTACCAGGCACCATAGTGACTGTTGTGTTTAGACCTCCATGCAAAAGAGAGATAGTAAGTTATTTTAAGAGTATATCATGCTGGAAAACTGGTGTTCAAAATCACTCTGAGATCCAGAAATTACTTATCTTGCCTTCAACTAGTTGCCTCCAATCACTCAACTGAAATCCATCTTAGTTTCCTCTTCCCAGGTTTTATAAACAGTCTTTTTTCAGTCCTGAAACTTACTCAGTGAACAGCCAGACGTAGCTTTGCATGTTTAGCATTCAGCAGTAGATGACAGATGAGTTTATTATTGTTTACTTCCAACACTGATCCAATAAAATTGGATTGAAAATAAATTCCTTATCATTACCTTTTGGAAGTTTGTTTGTAGTGCTCACAGTTTCAGAAGGTAGTCCCATTTTCCCCTATTTCCTGTAATTTGCATTTTCCTGATCTATACTTTTTTCAACAAAAATTAGGTATGCTTTTTAAATTCCAGAATGAAAGAGAATAAATCCATAGAGAACATTTATGGTTCAAGAAAACTCATAAATTTCGCCTCTACCATTTAATTGTCAGGTGAAGGTGACTTTGCCTGCACACCCACACACTCCTTAAAAATCCTGCATGGGGTTGTTTAGGTGTTTTCATTAAGGGACAAATGGCATTAGAGTCCAGCATTTAAAGGAAACATTTAAGTGACATCAAAGGTAAAAATATAACCATAATAAAGAAAATGCAGTTCCCCTGGAAAGGTATTAACACATAGTTTCTCTCTACACGTAGAACAGGAGGACCCTGCATAACCTTAAAATGTAGGTATGGTAAGCACAGCATGCAGAAAGTTACATCTCAGCATTTCCCACATTATCAGCAATTTGAGGCAATACATGGATGAGGAAAGCAATGTGTCATCCCATTTGTACTCTGCTGCCTCGGGGTGAGAACTCTGTTACCTGCCACCTTCAGGCCACAGTTTCCAGTGTATTAAGGCTGTCATTAAGTCAGCTTCTTCTGCAATTCTAAACACTGCGATTCTTTTCATTAATTAATTGAATTGATTTTTCAGTATTAAAATTAATTAATAAAATTTAACATATTGTCATTATAAAACAACTAATATGTTGATTGTTTAAATATTTAAATGCCTGCCTGCCTGCCTGCATTTTAAAGTGCACTGGCATATTTGGCGAGTTGGTGACATTGTCAGCAGTGAGCAGCAGTCCTTATCTCGCCTTTCTCAATCTCACAGGTTTAATATGTACTCATAGTGAAAAAAAATGCTATATTTCAGATCTAAGCATTTTCTAAAAACAGCCTTCCAACTGCAAACAGGTGTAGCCTCACATACAGTTATCCACCAGGTAGCCTGACATGGCGATGGAGTGTTGAACAGTTCATGAAAGATGTGGACTACCTCCATTCATCTCAGTGGCTCTGAACCCTGCAAACATTCCCAGTGTCCTTGCTTCAGTGCTTCAGAAGCAGCTGAGGCAGGGGAACGTGTGGCAGTGTCTGTCCTCTCTGCTGGATGAAAACAGTTACACTTAAAATACACACTCAAATCAATGACCTTCTCTGAAGCAGGTTACAAGCTCAGACTGACCTGTCTATAAATATTTTAGAGGGCATAATTTAATCTGTGCAGTGGATTCAGTGCTTCTCCCACATTCAGTGAGACCACACATACCTTATTACTCAGTATATTTAGATGCCACTGAATGAAATCCTCAAATTTTTCATTGTGCAGGTATAGGGAAGCACCTTTGTTGAGGTAAAATACTTAAGCATAAGTTTTATTTCAACAGTGTACTGAAAAGTTAGCACACAATACTTAAAATTAAGCAGGTGCTTTTACTGAGTCCTGGGACATCCTGCTAGGGAGCAGTCACTGATTCAATTCTAACTGGAGTATAAGAGTTCCTGGAGTTAATCTGCCTGGGGAATTAATGAGCACCTACAGTTCACAGGATGGTCCTCCACACCATCTCCCTTTCTGGGCACTCTTGACATGCAGTTTGTGTTAGGTGGTTTATGGCTTTTGTGCATCAGTAACCTTCCTTGTTCAAAATAGCTTCCCTTTGTAGACAGGCATTTAATTATATCACCAAATTATAATTATTTAAATAAATAGCTTTTTTGATCTCACAGAAGACTTCCTTCCCTCCAAATGCTGAATGTGCTTGGGCTTCTAATGAGGGAGAGAAAATAGATCATCTGGCTATGGCATTTGGATTAATTGAGATCATTGTGCCAGAAATACTTTGAATTTTCATAGAAGTCCCAGAAGTGAAGCATTTAGGCTAGAAAACAATAAGTAAAACCACAAGTGAACAGAAAAAATGAAGGAACCTATAAATATGTAGGGTATGGAGTGGCAAACTGTCAAATTATCCAATTAATTAATACCTTTAAATATAGAAGCATTTAAAAACTGGTGAACTTGCTTAGTAGAGTTCTTTGGTACAGAACTCACTGCTTCATGACAATGGGCTCCAAAGCATTTTTCCAGATCTATTCTGGAAAATATCCATGAGAAAAAGTATTTCTTGTTGAATGCAATGCTTTAATACCATAAATCTACTATCTTTTCTTTCCATTATTTTGTCAAAGCTTCTTGATTTAGTCCAAAGGGGCAGGATTTTTCAGTGTGCTAGAGAATGATTTCTATAATTATTTTTTTATAGAAGTAAACCAGGTACTGTATTATTTCACTTGTATTCTCCCTTCTGCTTGCTGAGCAGCCTGATAATCCCACTCAGATCACTGAGATCTCTGATACTGAAGAAAATCAGAGGAGGAGAGTGCCTGTCACCAGTCTGCATTACTCTCCAGACAGGGGTTTATCGGAGGAAGGGCAGGGGTGGGTTTGTAGGCACTCCCAGCTTACATTAACACTGTCCCAGAGGAGTGAAGAGCTTCCCTGAGTCAGGGAACATTTTGCCTGCTGTTGTCTCCTGGCTGCCCAGCCCCTCTCTTGGGAGGGCTGCTGCTGGTGAGGTAGATGTCTGAAGTTCAGTGTCTTAATTTTAGATTTTAGGAATAATGTCATTGAAACCGTCTAGGTGTGACTTGTCATTTGGGCTAAAATAATCTCCTTGGTTTGTTACCTATGGGATCATCATATAAAGAAGACCATATAAAATAGATACAGAAATTATCAAAATAAACTACTAAAAAACCCCAAAGGTGTTTACAAACAATTCTACTGATAAAAATGTAAGCTAAAATTTGGAAGTTTGAGCAGCCTTTCTCAAAAATATTTCACTTCAATGTTTTCAGGAGTCACTGCTGTGAAACCTCTGCTTTTTTTTTACAGCTTAATCTATTGTGACAGATGATGAACAGATGAAGGCAGTAGAAGCATATGTCTTGTTCTGACTTTCTTCAAAGTGTGAAAGAGCTGTGGACCTGAGTTACGAACATTGTCCAGATTAGGGGCTGTAACTGCTTTTTTTTTTGGCTGTATACAAAGTAATGCGATTGATATGACCAAGGCAGGAGGGACCTCAGGAAATGTGTCCCATTCCCAGCCTGCACAAACCAGTTTCAGTGCTGGCCACCGCTGCAAGAGGCAGAGTTTATTTCCTTTATTTTGTCTTGCCCAGTCTTTAACCATCAGTAGCAGAGTGGCAGCCTGGAAAGCAGAATGTTTGTTCCTATGGTTTTCCTTTGCTTTAATAACTGTGTAATTGCTGGCTTGAACGCTGTTGTACTGAGACACACTGTTCTTTCCAGGTAACGTTCCGGACAAGGATCTACCACTGTAACATTAACAGCCAAGGCGTCATCTGCCTGGACATTCTAAAGGACAACTGGAGTCCAGCGTTAACCATTTCTAAAGTTCTCCTCTCCATCTGCTCCCTCCTCACAGACTGTAACCCCGGTAAGATGAATTAACTTTCATATCCTCATTCATTCGTCATTCACATTTGGTCAGCTCAGTAACATCTGGTCAGTGCTCTGGTTTACTAGTACCCACTGAAAAAAAAACACAAAAAAATGTAAATTTTTTATATACATATAAATAGTATAAAAAGAAAGCAGAATTTCAGAAGCTCAAGTACTTTTAGTACTGGAGAATATTTTTTTTTTAATTCAGAAAGTTTGATCAGTAGAAAATACCTTAGTATGCATAATTTGGATATTACAACCAGGATATTACCACCAAGAAATATTAATGAGTTAATAAATATTGAAAAGGAAAGCTTTCATTTAAATATGCTGATAATGTGGTCTCTGAAAAGAATATTAATAGCACTGACAATGATAGATACCTAACGCAGACTCTACAAATAATGAAAATTAGTTTAAATGAGGTTTATTCAATATCTTGGACAGTCAGCATGAGTATTCAAAGCAAGCTGTCATTCTTATTAACTAGCATAGCACTTAACCTCTCCCCTTAGCTCTTTTAGATTTGTTTTATGCCATTGACCACTAGATCTGTAATTTCCACTTTCTCTTACCCTATTTACCAACACATAATTCTGACTGTAGCCTTGGAAAACCATAGTATGTGGAAATTACTAAAGAATCACTGAAGAAAAATTATGTGGTCTGTTTATATGTCATGAGGGTTGTTGCTGGTTTGTTATTTATTATACATTTCAATATTATTTTTAATTTGCCCAAAGGGTTAAAAATTGCTTTGAAAAGGGCAGAATGTGAGATTCTGGCATAATCAGGGGCTGAATCAAAAGCTGTAATATTGAAATATTTCAAAACTGAAAATAACGTGAAAGTGGGCAAAAATGTGATTGACTGCTTTTATTTTCATGAAGGTTTGTTGCTGTATAGAACATTGAAACCTGTGGTGTTCCTTTCAGTGAGAGGTGGAGTGATAGAGTGTTACCATTTTAGGCACATTTCTTTCAGGTGGATTGAATGCTCTCTGCTAACGTCTCTGAAAGATTGATTTCTGTTAGTGTTTGGCCGAAAATATGCAGAAGTGTCTGTAGGTAGTCAGGCAGATAGATGACAGAAGTGTACAAAAACCAAATTAATATTTGCTCATGTGTCTTAGAGACCAGGTAAAGAGCTAGAGCCACTGCAAAGCTGTGTAGGGATTGAGAAACGAGCAGTGAATACATGCTCTCTCATAGGGATAAAGATACTCTCTTGGGAGGGATGCAGTCATCTTGAAAGCTGGACAGTTTCCAGCAGTGATTTGAAATTTAGAAATTCACTACTTATGCTTTCTCCTTACAGATTTATCCTAAATGCTGACAAACAACAGTTTTAGCATATCAAGTGTGTAAGAGGAATACTGAAAACAATTATCCATACTGTATTGCCATGTACAACAAGTTAGCATACCAAAAATGGGAAGTTCTTCTATTTAGCCTCTTTCAATTAGCAGCCATAGGCATTGTCTTGACCACAGTAAATAAAGCAATTTTATGATGTTTCATTTTCAAATCTTCTCTTTAATTATGAAGTAGTTCTGGATTTTTTCTCTGGTAAAATTTTTTTCTTGGTAAAATTTTCCCCTTTCTTAATGAATTAACACAATTTCTTAATTTGTATCCCAGTCTCACAAGGCACTGGTGACACATATTTTTGAAGTGCTGAGTCATTTTCGCCTTCCTTGGTAATTGCCCGTTTCATGCTAGATATTCTTTTATTTAAAAGTGAACTTTGAATGTTAGTGATGAACAACAGAAGGCTTGCAGAAATTTACAAGTCCTTACTTTTCATTATATTGCCTAATATGATTTTTTCTGATATTTTATCATTAAAAAAATATTGGTTACTTACCATCAGAGGGATGGATGGATGGATGGATGGATGGATGGATGGATGGATGGATGGATGGATGGATGGATGGAAAGATGTGTCACTGATACATATGCCACTGAAATATATCACATATATATACACATAAGTTGCTGCAGAAACATGCATATATGTTTTTTACATCTGGGAGTAATTTTCTAATCCCTTAGTCCTCTCTTCATCTAACTAGTTTGCTCCTTTCTAAAGGTAGAAACACAACAGGGGTCTTGATTTGATAAACAACTTTGAACTCTTTTTTTCACCATTCATCAGCCAGAAGCAGATCAGGTCAAATGGAAAGGCAACATTGATTCTCCCACAAACATAAACACATAGGATGGGCGAGTCTTCCACCCTGGCCTCTGAAGCGAAGAATCAAGTATCAGTTACCCCCTACTCTTACATTTATGCAAATCTTCATTAGAACAACAAATAGGAGTAAGAATGGCAGCTAATTTACCCTCAGTCATACACAGTGATTAAACGGCGCTGAAGCACAGCTGCAGCCTCGTTGGCAAGCGCTGCTATTCTTCTCCAGCAGGCTGAGCAAATGAAAAGAGGTATTTGCTCCTGCCGCTCCTGTCATTCACACAGTAATCTACAAAAGCCACGGAGAGAGTCTCTTTCCTCCCTGGTTATACATCACCGCCCTTTGTTCCCTATCACTCCAGGCAGGAGCAAGTTTGTCCTTTTTAAACAGCTAATACAATCCTTTACTCATAAGCTGTCTCAGACCCTTCAGTCCTGATTATTATTAATTGTCTCTGTTTTCCTTGGCAGTATCAGCCCCTAAACTGTGTTAATGAAAGGTCTGAATTTTGTAACAGCTGGCTGACTTTTCCATGGGGGGAAGGGGTGTTGTAGGGTTTGTGTATGACTGAACACATGTGCATTATCTGGGAGTGCGAGAGAGCCAAATGTATCAGAGGGATGGGAGCGATGGTGGGATGCACTAGCCCAGTCCAGGCATTAATATTTTTCTTTGAGGTGGTACTCAAGGCCACAGCACATGTCCCTTTCTACAAATCTGGGTTCCAGCCCTGTAAATACTTTGGCATGTGCATGAGCAACCCCACAAAACCTGATAAATACCTTCACCTGTGTGAAACAGAGTGAGTGAGTGAGTGAGTGAGTGAGTGAGTGAGTGAGTGAGTGAGTGAGTGAGTGAGTGAATGTTTATAGGCTCTGTGCTTGAGTGCTGAAAATGCCTGCTTCCAGTGTTAGCTGCTGGGGCTGGCCTGTTAGTTACTACAGAGTAACTCCCTGTGTGGATACTCCCCACTTTGAAAATGTATTAAGTTACAAAAACCTGTCTTGCTTGGACTAAAAGTCAACTATACTTTAAGTGTTCAAGTGGAGCCTGGGGAGTGTAAATTTCCACACTTCCTTAATCCAAAGAGCTTTCAGGTGCAGATGGCCATTGAGGTTTTGTGTTTTACTGAGTTTGAAGTGCTAAGCAAATTAATTATTTTTTATAGTTACAGAGCTGGTGATGCTGATCTGGGTTAGAATGTTTCTTCTCAGTTGATCATTGCTGTCCTGGCCCTGCCAAAGGTTCTTGAGCACCAGGAAAAATATCATTTTCAAATGCTTCAGACAAAATAAATTGCAACACTGCAGCACTTTCTTTGCATGGCTTCCTTCTTCACATTCGAAATCTGAACTTGGCTGGCCTGATTATCCACGATGTCTGACCAGTTTTAACGTTGAATCATGTCTGCTTAATAACACACAGCTAAGCCTTGATTAGAACATCAGAACAAAGCCTACCTCTCCATCACACCAGCCTCTTCCCTTCTGGTGTCATCCTCTGGCTCTGGCTCCTTATCATTTTCCCCACGTGCAAGTTCCACAGTCAGTGGTGATTTTATCCCTCAGTTGACATTCTGGAAGCAAATGCTTTGCTGCTGCTCCTGGCCCTCTTCCCTGCGAGCTCCTGTGATGAGGACTTGCCAAGGGGTGCACACAGAGGATGAGTGGCAGACTGAGATGTGGCCAGCCACGATATTGCTTTCCCACAAACATTAGGCTGAACATTTGGGTGGCAGCTGTAGCCAAAGTAACTGCTGAAGGGCTCTACAGACCCTCAGTTGCTTTGCTCTTTAGAAACCTCTGCCTGATTCCTAACCTGAACTGACTCACAGGAATTTCATACCCACTTGTTTTTAAGCAGGTCTTGTCCTGTACCTTAAGTGACCATTTTTCTGGTTTTCAGTCCTGGTGCACTAATTAAGAACCATCCTCTTCCCTTGTTGACTTCATCTGATGCACACCACCAGACGGGTGTTATGAGAGGATTTCTGTTCCCCTGCTCATCCTCATTGCACCCATCCTTCCTGAATGCTCCTGACTCTTGGAGTTCATTGGGGCATGAGGCACAGCTAGACAGACTAACCTGCTCATCATCACCGTCATCCGGGTGGAAATATTTACTGCTCCCTGTTGGATGTTCCTATCTCAATTGGCAGCCTCACTGAAGGTTATTTCTGTCTTAGCCCTGTCATTTTCACTATTTGTCTGCTTTTTAACCCAATTGAGTGAAATGGAGAAAGCAAAAGAGGAAAAAGAAAGAGGAAAAAGGGGGAAAAAGAAAGGAAGAGCAAAAGAAAGAAAAAGCTTTTGCTAGAAAGGGCAAAACCTCTGCATTAACCTCTGGCAAAGGATATGCTCAAAAAACTGCCTGCAGTACCCACTTCACTGGGGTCAGCACTAGTTGAGTTGGTTGCTCTGCTCTCAGATGCTTCAGTGACATATTATCAGTGTAAAGATGCTTGTCTGGTTGCCTTTTAAACTCCCCAGAAAGTGTGAGGCAGTTTGTTTAGTGTTGCCTGTAAAGTTTGCTGTGAATGTAGTTTGAGGTTGAAGCATGCGTGTCCTCACAATAAATGTACTTTTGAGAGCAAATGAGTAGCACTGCATTACTTTGGACAAGTAGCACTACATTATTTTGATGTGAGACCCATCAATTTTTATAGTAGTTGCAGTATTACAGCACATCTGAAAAGTGGACTATTTATGTTAAAAAACTCTGCAACATACATTGTGGCTTTCAAATATATTGTACCCTGGTTAGAAGTGGATGTGCTGCTTTTTACAAGTAGTGCCATG